AATCTTTTATCCAATGTGGGGCTCAAACTCACAACCCTGAGGTTAAGAATCTCATGCTCCAATGACTGAGCTGCCGAGTGTGTGGAAGGGAGCAGCAGGGCTACACCACTACCTCCACCCTAACAATATGTGGCTGTTCCCAACCATGCCCATGCACAGATGCCTGAAACCAGCATATTCCTCTCTGTCTTAAGCTTCCCCAGATCCTGGAGTCACGCACAGTCAGGGCTCCAGAACCCAGGGAGAAACCTCCATGTGCAAAGATAGATACTTAACTACTTCCCTCCTTCAGATGGGGCCAAGAGGAGCAGCACGTTGTCAGAATAGGGTACAGTTCCCTTCTGTACTCGCTTCACACAATGTATTCTGTGCAGGGGACTGAAGTCAGGTTGCCACATGGCATGTCTGGAAGATGAGGTGGTTCCCCCTCCTTTTTTAATTTTGTGGTACCACCTCTTGCAAACAAGCTAAGGGATTTTAAAAGGTAAAGGGATCTCTGACAGTTAAGTCCAGTCGCGAACGACTCTGGGGTTGCAGTGCTCATCTCGCTTTATTGGCCGAGGGAGCCTGCATACAGCTTCTGGGTCATGTGGCCAGCATGACTAAGCCGCTTCTGGCAAAACCAGAGCAGCTCATGGAAATGCCATTTACCTTCCCGTTGGAGCGGTACCCATTAATCTACAGTACTTACACTTTTTGGAGTGCTTTCAAACTGCTAGGTTGGCAGGAGCTGGGACTGAACAACGGGAGCTCACCCCGTCGTGGGGATTTGAACCGCCAACCTTTTGATCAGCAAGCCCAAGGCTCAGTGGTTTAGACCACAGCGCCACCCGCAAGGGATTTACTGGAAACCAATAATTGCAGTGGCTATGTAAGAGGAGTACCTTGTCCTTAAGAGAAGGCGGGAAACGGTTTCTAGTTAATTGCAATGGCAGTGATGCTTTCTCGAATCTTCTGCCATGAAAACAGGAGAACTATGTCTTATCAACAGGCTGCAAGGAGCACAGATGCAGCAGGGGTGCCTGTTTTCATGGTGAAGGTGGAGCGATGAATGGGTTAGCCTCCTTAGTTCTCAGCACCCCTTAGAACCTGTGCTTACCACCTACTTCATTTTCCACATTTCTAAATGCGAGCCTCCGTCCCTCGTGTCTGGATAGAAATAACCGAGAAACGGAAGTGGCTGGTGAAATGACAGAAGCTGGGATTTCCAGGGCATCAGGCAGAGACTTCCCTTTTGGCGAAGTCACGTTTTGGGGAAGCCCCTTTCAGAAGCAGCTGCTGTTAGGAAAGAATGACAGCGCAGGGGAATCCCCTGAAGTCAGCAAGCAGGCAATCTTAAAGGAGAAACACTGTCTGAAGCATGCACCGCCCTTTTCCTTTAAATGAAGAACATCTGATGCTGCAAAGTGTGCTTTTGAGAAGACCTTTAAGGCAGCCCTTGTGCTGCTCCCATTTCAGGCTGAAACAGGAGTGCGGAGCTCTCTTACAGCCTTCTGAAGTCTCCCTCCATTCCCCGCATAAGCTTTGGAGACTTGCAAAGCCACCCACTTAATAGATGGGCGGGCCACACCTGTTGATCATGTGACATTATGATGTGCAATTGGCAGGGAGGTAGCCCTGCCCACCTCCCAAATTTGGCCTGGTTTCCCGTGCCTGGCTTGGGCGATGGAGTTTAAGTATTACCCAAGTATTGCATGCTGATGTTTATCTTTCTGATTTTGCAGCTGGCGTTACGGGAGGCACTCTTGAAGCAGAGGAAAAGGCTGGTGAAATAACTGGCGTGATGCCAGGACCTGGAAATAAAACCGACTGTGTTAACTAATGAACCAGATCCGACAAAGACATCTCGTACCTGCAATTAACTTCATTTTGCCTGAACTGTTAAATTTTGTTTACCACCTTTGGAGCAAGCCAGTATATCAAACCGACTTCAAACCGTGCTTTAACATCCTGACTTGTTCAGAACCGCAATTCCCTAGTTTAGACAAAACAGAGGACTGTAGCTAATTATAGTTAATTCCTGGCTTCCTGGCTTGGTTGTTCCTTCCACGAAGGACAGGGCAAAGGGGCTGTTCATTCATAGCTTTGTAAGCAAAGAGGTGATCATACAAACCTGGCCATTGGTTGTGGTGGTGAGAGCCAAGTATAATACCTGCAAGGTGTTTCGACCTCGGATGCAAAGATGAAACATAACTTAAAATATATTTCCAACTGGTGGCAGATTAAAGACTAATTATGGCTGCTTCCAGACGACTTGCGTGTTGAGCATTCATTCTGCCTTGTTTGCAGAGAGGTTACACTAAGTTGAGTCGAGCAATTGTCACTTTTGCTCATCAGACTTTTGCAGTATGGAAAAAGATTGTTTTAGGGGTGGGCTTGTTGTGGCAAGGGTGCCTAATCGACTTTAACTGCACAACCTAAAACCACCAGTATGCTGGTCAATTCCACCTGCAAAATAATGAGTCTAGAAGCACTGCTTATTCACGAAAGAACAGTTACTTGGGTCTTAGACCTACATGCTCAGAGGAGCAAACCCTGTGGGCAGCAATGGGATTGATTTAGGAATAAATCTGTGTCTGAGCACAAATTTGTAAATGTTTTACATAGATGGAAGGCTGTAACTTCTGTATTCCTGTAAAATATATTTTAGATCCTTCCCATGGGTACTTGTTAAGAGTGTTATTCTGAGTACAGTGGTACCTTGGTTCTCAAACTTAATCCATTCTGGAAGTCCATTCCAAAACCAAAGTGTTCTAAAACCAAGGTGTGTTTTCCCATAGAAAATAATGCAGAATGGATTAATCCATTCCAGACTTTTAATAACAATCCCTAAAACAGGAATTTAACATGAATTTTGCTATCTAACGAGACCATTGATCCATAAAGTGAAAGCAATAAACAATGTACTGCAGTCACACAATCAGTCAGTAGCTGAACTGGGTTCCACACAGTCACAAAAACAAAACAAAAAAGCCACAAAAACACAAAATAATAGCAATAACAGCAAAAACAGACCTCAGTGTAACACTCAAAACCAAAGCGTGGCACTCAAAGCGGAAGCGTAACACTCAAAATGGAGCATGTTTGGCTTCCAAAAAAAGTTCACAAACCAGAACACACACTTCCGGGTTTGCAGTGTTTGGGTTCCAAGTTGTTTCAGTGCCAAGTCGTTTGTGAACCAAGGTACCACTGTATTGTAAAATTAAGGTGACTAACTTGGCTGAGTCTCATTGGACGTTTGATGTTTGTGTGTGTGTTATGACACTACTGCCCTTCCTAGGGTAGGCAGCAGGGATGGATAACCCATTTTCAGGCCGAGGGCCGCACTGCCTTATGGAAAACTGCAGTCTGGGGGCCGCATTATGCTAATGGGTGGGGCCAGGGACAGAGGGAGGTGGAGCAACAGGTGCCACAGTTATCTTGGTAGGATGACCAACCACACAAATGTCCGAGGCTTCTACACCCAGCTCTCCCCATCCATCGTGGCAATGCAATAGACAATATCATAGGTCAAGGACACATTCCGGTTAGGCAAGAGCTCTCAGTGCAGAGCCAGTAAGCATTATTATTATTATTATTATTATTATTATTAGCAGTGTTGCCTAGGGGGAGGCTGAGAAGCTGCACTTGATCCCTACAGTATTTTCCCACTAATACACATCACATAAGAATGTTGTGGGACAACGGACTGCACCTTTGGGGGTGAAGAAGAGTTTGGACTTGATATCCTGCCTTTCACTCCCTTTAAAGAGTCTCAGAGCAACTAACATTCTCCTTTCCCTTCCTTCCCCACAACAAACACTCTGTGAGGTGAGTGGGGCTGAGAGACTTCAGAGAAGTGTGACTGGCCCAAGGTCACCCAGCAGCTGCATGTGGAGGAGCGGGGAAGCGAACCCGGTTCACCAGATTACGAGACTACCGCTCTTAACCACAACACCACACTGGCTCACTGAAGCCTCTTTCCACCTGCCTTGCTCCACCCTCTAGTCTCTGCTTCTCAATTTGCATTGTATTATTTTATGTACTGTGGCTTGCCGTTGTTTTATTGATTATAGTTTAGAAATTATTTATTGTAACTGTTGAATGGATTTCTGTTTAACTTTTAAAGGTAAAGGTAAAGGTACCCCTGCCCGTACGGGCCAGTCTTGCCAGACTCTAGGGTTGTGCGCTCATCTCACTCTATAGGCCGGGAGCCAGTGCTGTCCGCAGACACGTCCGGGTCACGTGGCCAGCGTGACAAAGCTGCTCTGGCAAGCCAGCGCAGCACACGGAACACCGTTTACCTTCCCGCTAGTAAGCGGTCCCTATTTATCTACTTGCACCCGAAGGTGCTTTCGAACTGCTAGGTTGGCAGGCGCTGGGACCGAACGACAGGAGCGCACCCCGCCGCAGGGATTCGAACCGCCAACCTTTCGATCGGCAAGTCCTAGGTGCTGAGGCTTTAACCCACAGCGCCACCTGCGTCCCGTTTAACTTTTACCCGGAGGGTAATCTGGTCCAACCCTCATCTCAACCTGTGGGCTTTTATGGCTGCACCATCTGTTGGGTTACTCCCAGCTCTGCAGCTACTAAATCATCTTCTTTGGCAATCACTCGTTGCGAGGAAGATTGTCTTCCATAAACACAGTCTTAACAGTGGAGGCCAATTGTGGATCTACACCTCCTTCCACAGTGGGGACACAGGTTTCTGGGCAGGTTTCTGTTCTCCAATGGGAGCACTCCCAATTGTCAGTACAGTGGTACCTCGGGTTACAGATGCTTCAGGTTACAGACTCCGCTAACCCAGAAATAGTACCTCGGGTTAAGAACTTTGCTTCAGGATGAGAACAGAAATTGTGCTCTGGCGGCGCAGCGGCAGCAGCGGGAGGCCCCATTAGCTAAAGTGGTGCTTCAGGTTAAGAACAGTTTCAGGTTAAGAAACGGACCTCCGGAATGAATTAAGTACTTAACCCGAGGTACCACTGTATTTATGCTTCATTTTTAAATATTTGCCTTGAGAGAGCCTTTGAACCTCTTTTGTTGACCACCAGCATTACGCTTTCCTTTTTTAACTTCGGAATAGAAGAGTTGCTTTGGAAGACGATCATCAGGCATCCAAACAACATGACCAATCGCAGGGGGAGGTGAAAGGAAAGGGGGGGGCGTTTCTATTTTTGGCCCTGCAAGAAGCCCTGATGCGCGCACAGCGGCGCTCCGCCTTTCGTTTGCATTCCCTCCCTCCGCGCCGCGTTCCCTCCCCATATCCGGGCTCCTGGCTTGAGCTTCTGTGTTTGCTTTTGGGTCGCAGCCATGGAGCGGCGGCTGCCACTGCTGCCCGGGCTTGCCTGGAGCTCCTTCTGCCTCCTGCTGTTGCTGAGGCTGCTGTGCAGGGGCGCTGCTGCCCCCCACATCTCCGGGGCCGCTGTTGCTGCGCCCTTGCTGTGCAATGTCAGCTTGGACAGCGCGCCCGAGGAGCGGTGGAAACCGGTCCTGCGCCACTTCGATCCGGAGTTCCTGCGAGCTGCTTTCTACCAGCTCATCGAGTGAGTCCGCACTGGAGATACTGCTGTGGATTTTTCCCCCACTTGGAGTGGGAGAAAAGGGATTGGTGGTGGCCACATCGGCGCTTCGAAATTATAATTACTGTTATTTTTTATTTTTAAACGGATATGGATATCTTTTCCATCATCTCCAAACAACTTTCTGCAAGTGCTTTCTGCAAGCCTGTTTGAGTAGCTGTTTCCTATTTTGTTTGGCTGCAAATTATTCCTCTTATTATATACTTATTTCTACTCCTCCTGCTGATAAAAACAAGTGCCGCTAAAAGACCAAGCCTGTTTGAGTAGCTGTTTCCTTTTTTTGTTTGGCTATAAATTATTCCTCTTATTATAAACTTATTTCTGCTCCTCCTGCAGATAAAAACAAGATAAAAGCATGGGAAACGCAGTTATTAAAAAAACAATGAAACATTGATAAAATCTTAATTTTGGGTTCACGCTTTCTTTCATTAAAAAGAAGAGGACGCTTTTAACACCTGCAATTTTTTTGCGCGGGTGTGCCTCCTGTTCCAGGCCCTTTTCTCCTCAATTGAGTTAAAGGTGCAGCACGTTATATAAAGCCAGAGTTTTTGCCAATAGGATCTGTGTATAAAAGCTCTGTATATGCAACTTGACATTTAATAAATAGTTTGAAAACTTAAAAAGGAGGAGGAAGCAGCCTTCATTTTGCTAACCAGGTGACAATTTGAACCCTGGTCTCCTGGGTCCTAGTGCAGCACTCTGATCTCACTTGCTCTCTCAGAGACACCTTGCTTCTCAATGTGAGCTGCTATTTTTTCCTTGGGTTCCCGTGGGTTTGGGTCTCAACGGTTCCATTCGAAAGCAAAACAGGTCTTCTTGCTCACAATCGTCTCAAAGCCTGACTGCCACCGTTCTGCATTCAGAGGTGGTTCTCCTGTCGCTCAGCTGCAGCCCCTCCGAAGCCAATGACCCCGGTTTATTGCTGTGTTTTATTTGTTTTTCAGCGAAGTGGTTCCCAAGTGGGTTCATGCGATTATCCGGCCTCTGGCGGAAGAATTAGAATCCTTTGCCCCTCAGCCGTTTGCAGGCGAGATCCGGGGACTCTGCCAAGCCCTGGGGCTGAACGTTGGGGATGGCTTGCTCATCAATTTGGCCTACGAATCTACTGCGTAAGTGTCCTTGATGTTGGTAAGGAAGAGCTCATTGGCGCAAGGGATTTCTTGTACAGTATTTTTTTTTTTTAAAGGGACGCAGGTGGCGCTGTGGGTTAAACCACAGAGCCTAGGACTTGCCGATCAGAAGGTCGGCGGTTCGAATCCCCGCGATGGGGTGAGCTCCCGTTGCTCGGTCCCAGCTCCTGCCCACCTAGCAGTTCAAAAGCACGTCAAAGTGCAAGTAGATAAATAGGTACCACTCCGGCGGGGAGGTAAACGGCATTTCCGTGTGCTGCTCTGGTTCACCAGAAGCGGCATAGTCATGATGGCCACATGACCCGGAAAAACTGTCTGCAGACAAACACCGGCTCCCTCGGCCAATAAAGCAAGATGAGCGCCGCAACCCCAGAGTCGGTCACGACTGGACCTAATGGTCAGGGGTCCTTTTACCTTTACCTATTTTTAAAAATACTGCCTCCACAACGTACATTTAAAGAACACCCCTCTCCAAGAATCCTGGGAACTATAAGTTTTCCCCTTACAGAGCTACTTTTCCTTTCGCCTTTAACAAATTGCAGTTCCCGAGATTCTTTGCTGGAGGCTGTGTACTTTAAATGCATCACCATCAACCTTTTTTATTTGTATGCCACCTCCACAGTTAAAAAACAATGCTCAAGGCGGCTGACAGCATAGCAAGATTTACGTAATTACAAAAGTCATCAACAATAAATAAACCGCATCAGAAAAATACACAACCAAATGGGAAACAATTTCCACATAAATCGAAATCTAAAACCAAGAATACAGCATTAAGATCACAGTTTAAAATGACATAGGTAGAAAATAACAGCAATTTAAACCAAAATCGAAACAAAATGGAGCCCTCTCTGCCTAGTGGCGGCAGCGGCGGCAGCAGCAGCAGTCCTTTATAGAGCCCATCAGGCCCCGCCCTGGGCCAGGTGGTGAGTGGCAGGATTGGGGCCCTCAGGCGCTGAGCAGGGATGAAAGCATCTCCCTTTGATCTTCAACTTTTGGCAGCCATGCCCTCAGGCTGCCTGATCTATTCCACCCCAGCTGCTTGTTATAAAAACTATAACTGGTACCCAGGTTTGCTTTCCTCCCTCCTCCCTCCTCCCTTTCCCTTGCATTAGAATAAGTAGTACCTTTGGTGGGGGACACATCGTGCTCCAGGGAAGCCAACCTCCTCCCTCCTCAGTCCTTTTTCCTTATGTGTCATGTATTTTAGGAAGCAAGCCTGCAGGCAAGGACTCACTTTTTCTTTTTTACTGTTCTCTGCAAGCTGCTCTGAGAGCTTTTCCAGTTAAAAGAGCAGAGTAAAAATAATAATAATATAAATAATAATTTAAATAATAATTTAAAATTTAAATAATAATTTAAAATTTAAATAATAATTTATTATTTATATCCCGGCCATCTGGCTGGGCTTCCCCAGCCACTCTGGGCGGCTTCCAACAAAATATTAAAATACCGTAATGCATCAAACTTTAAAAGTTTCCGTAAACAGAGCTGCCTTCAGATGTCTTCTAAAAGTCTGGTAGTTGTTTTTCTCTTTGACATCTGGTGGGAGGGCGTTCCACAAGTCAGGTGCCACTACCGAGAAGGCTCTCTGCCTGGTTCCCTGTAGCTTTGCTTCTCACAGTGAGGGAACTGCCAGAAGGCCCTCGGCACTGGACCTCAGTGTCCGGGCAGAACGATGGGGGTGGAGATGCTCCTTCAGGTATACTGGACTGAGGCCATTTAGGGCTTTAAAGGTCAGCACCAACACTTTGAATTATGCTTAGAAACGTACTGGGAGCCATTGTAGATCTTTCAAGACTGGTGTTATGTGGTCTCGGCAGCCGCAATTTGCCGAGGCAAATTGACCCAGCTATACTAGGGGCAATGTTGGGCTTGGCTACTCAGAAGTAAGCCCCACTATGTTCAAGGGAGCTTACTTCCAGGTGACTGCACAACACTGCATCTTAAGCAATTAGCATTTTTATATGTTATCATAACAGCTCCGATATAGGTGTACGCAGTTCTTGTGTAAAACAGACTTCGCCATTCATTCCAACAGAGGGGGAGTGTTACGCATTTAGGTGTGCTTTAAACTACTCCGTCCATTTAAGTGAATGGGGGAGACCTTGCTGGGGGCGGGGTTCAAGTGCTCACAAGAGCTGTTGCTGTCACAGCAATCTGTGCCCCCCAATAGGGAAGGATGTCCATTTGATCACTGTTGCTTATTTCCTAGATGAAATATCAGGGGAAACACATAATTTTTGTGTGGATATAGAACCATATATAGAATTCTAGGAACTTGGAAGGGACTTCCAGAGTCATCTAGTCTCGCCCCCTACAATACAGGAATCTTTTGCCCAACCTGGGACTTGAACCCACTACCCTGAGATTGAGATTCTCATGCTCTACCGACTGAGCTATCCCAGATGTGGAGTGTCCTTTTTCACCCCCACGGTCTTTTATTGTCCCACAGATTCTGCACCAGTATCATCGCTCAGGATAACAATGGGAACATATACCATGGCCGGAATATGGATTATGCTTTTGGAGATATTTTACGCAAGACAACCATTGATGTGGAGTTCATAAAGAATGGGCAGGTAAGAAGAGCTTTTGGTGGTGATTAAGAATGACCGAGAGAAGGATAGAAAACGCAGGGCGAGTGTGCATTTTGCATTTCAGAATCTGTCCTATCCAGGATTCTGAAACGGCATCCATCATATTTTACAGGGCCAGGGGCAGGATTTAGGCACCTGACTGCCTGTAACAGGGATGGGGGTCCTCCTGTGCTGTGTACACCCAGCACAATTAAATCACATGACTCCTTCCAAAGAATTCTGGGAACTGATGTGTCATTAGTCTGCAATTCACATAAGCCCCAGTTGCTGTGGCCAAAGGCCGGAGTGTTAGCTTGAAGTCTAGAGAGAACACATTGGTTGAACATTTCCTCATTCTCTTTGTGTTAGTAAATCAGAGGCCTTGAATTTTAAGCTTCTCCCTTAATCCTATTCGAGCATTTTATTGTCAGTATGCCTTTCAACCGATGTCAGCGACTGGCACAATAACTGGTTCTGCCTCGACTGAGCTAGGTGACTGGAGCACTTTCAGAGACCTTCTAATCCTGGAAAACAGGTCCCAGTGCGCTGGACTCACAACTGTGCAATGTGAGCACCAGACTCATGCAGAATATAAATAACGCAGAAGCTAGCTGTGAAGCATAACTCCTTTTATTTCTAATTGCTACTACAAACTAAAGAACTACTGGCTTGCAGCTCCCACTCAGCCATTTAGTCACTACGTAGATAAGACTCTCTCCACACACAGAGCGAGGCAGTCAGTCAGGAGCGGAAGAGTAGAAGAGCAGTTTCCGCCCCCTCCTTTCTCAAAACAACAGATCAGAAGATTCTTGCAATGGGAGGGATGAAAATATCAACATTTATGAATTAGGCCTTTATTTAAATGTGGGACCCTGTGTTTTAATTTAACAACACCTCTGACTTTACCTTGTTTTGCAATGTGCTATGCGTTAAACCACAGAGCCTAGGACTTGCCGATCAGAAGGTCGGCGGTTCAAATCCCCGCGACGGGGTGAGCTCCTGTCACTCGGTTGCTGCTTCTGCCAACCTATCAGTTCAAAAGCATGTCAAAAGTGCAAGTAGATAAATAGGTACCGCTCCAGCAGGAAGGTAAACAGTGTTTCCGTGCGCTGCTCTGGTTTGCCAGAAGTGGCTTAGTCATGCTGGCCGCATGACCTGGAAGCTGTACGCTGCCTCCCTCGGCCAATAAAGCGAGATGAGCGCTGCAACCCCAGAGTTGGACACGACTGGACCTAATGGTCAGGGGTCCCTTTACCTTTACCTATGCGTTAAAAGCAGTTAACTGCAGGCTGTTCTCCGTCTTCGGATTTTCAGGTAAAGTTCAGAGGTACGACATTTCTCGGTTACGTAGGTTTATGGACAGGACAAAGTCCACACAAGTTTACAGTTTCTGGAGACGAGAGAGGTAAGCAAAGCTCATTCTTTCTCAACAGGGCAGGGTATAATCTACAGTCAGAATGAATTACAAAAATATGTGCAGTTGCCAATGTCTTGTTCAGTTCGTATCATGTGTCTTATTGTACTTTTGTTGGCTTTTTAATAATAATAATAATAATAATAATAATAATAATATCTTTATTGTCACTACCCCCTCTCGGGGACAATGAAATTACTTGACTGCTCCATAAAAAACACTAATTAAAACAATACAGTATAGTACAGCAAGGAAGATTAGATGACTTTCAAAGTCCAGGCTTCCCATTCAGGGCCGAGATCGCTCTGGAGAAGAAGCTGTTCTTAAGACGGCTCGTTCTTGTCTTCATCGTCCTGTATCTCCGTCCCGACGGCAGGAGCTCGAAGAGACAGTGACCAGGATGCGATGGATCTTTTACTATGTCCAGTGCCTTGCTATGGCACCTTGTGGCATAAATCTGCTCTAAGGTGGAGAGTGGGCAGCCAACAATGCTCTCTGCTGCCTTAACAACTCTGCACAACCCCATCCTGTCCTGGGTAGTACAGCTTCCGTACCACACACATAAGCCATAAGTGAGCACGCTCTCAATGGCACAGTGATAGAAGGCAAGCAGCAGTTTCTGCGGAAGATGGTTTTTCCTTAGAATTCTCAAAAAGTACAGTCTCTGCTGCGCCTTCTTCACAAGCCCCCTTGTGTTGACACTCCAGGACAGATCCTCTTGTAATTGTTTCGGATCTAAGTTTTGCTAACCCCTGCTCCGTTCCGGAGCACGGTGGTTAAAAACATGCGATCAAGAATGTATTCATTCAAAAGAGAAAAACATAATTTAAATCACAAATCTGTATTTTAAATATTGCTTTTCTTCATCCCGGCCCTTTGGGGTGGGAGCAATTAAACACTAAACCAGCAAGAGGAAATCACTCATGTTTGTGAATGTTGATTCTTATGGAGTGTCCCCCCCCCCTTTCATTTTTATAGATTCTGGCGCGTGGTGGGAAAATGCCATTGCTGCTTTCATAAATCGAAATTCTCCAGTCAGCTGGCTGGTCAGGACTGTAAGTAGCCACAGTTTTGTCCTTTGTAGACTCAGTGCTCACTTTCTGAAAATCAGAAATTTTGAATTAGTCCATGCTTTTCTTACAAAATTGCATGGGTAAATTGTTATGGAAAGCAGTTCAAGAGGTGGTACATGTACAGAAATGTTATGCATTTAGTTTATCACTCTTATTTGTTAAGAGATTTTCTGTGCTTCATGTGACAGGTTGCCTTTTCTGTGACTCAAAATGACAGATATCTGCATTGCCTTGTTTCGGATTCTTTCATGGAACAGTAGCAGCCAAGATAGTGCTCTCTAAATTTATTATTATTGTTCTTTTATTTTGATTCATTGCCTGCACTTCACCCTAAGGTCCCAGGGCAGGTCACAACAATTTGAAATACAACGTTAAAAAGCATTTTAAAAAGATTACCATCACAAGAATAGTGTGGGTCCATAAAAAATAGACATCTCAAGTGTCAAATGCACAGGCATGAGTCTTCAGCGTACAACAAAAACTGTATAATTAAGGTGCCAGATTCCTCTTAAGGCAGTGTTGCTTAAATTTTGGTCTCCACCTGCTGTTGGACTATAACTCCCATTATCCCCAGTTATCAGGACCAGTGGTCAGGGATGATGGGAGTTGTAGTCTTAGGGGCTTTCGCAGAGAATGCCCTCTCCTGGTCCACTACCACCCTGAGTTTCTGAAATGCCCGCTCTGTAAGGAAGGAGGCAGTCTTTCAGATATTTGTTGGACTACAACTCCCACCATGCCTTGCGGCTGATGGGAATTGGAAAGTGACAACATCCAGAGGGCAGCCCCACATTGGCTACCTTGCCCTAGAGCAGTGGTGGCCAAATTTGGCCCTCCAGCTGTTTTGGGACTACAATTCCCATCATCCCTGACCACTGGTCCTGTTAGCTAGGGGTGATGGGAGTTGTAGTCCAAAAAACAGCTGGAGGGCCAAGTTTGGCCACCACTGCCCTAGAGCATCCTTGCACATTTTGTCAGCCATAGGCTAATCTGGCACATCTCAACTTGCGGATCTTGTTGGCTTGATGTAGGATGAGTTAAAGCAGAGGGTGTAAAAGGGAGAGAACATTCAAACTTTGACAATACTCAGGTTTTTGTGATGAGAACACACACCTGGTGTAGCAACAATAAAATTGTTTCAGATGTCACGGCGTTCAGAAGTCCGTTTTCCCCAGCACAGATGACTACAAACATTGTATGTTTTGTTGAATTAATGTCTTGCAAATTGGTAGGTGTTCCAATTAAAAAACATGGTTTTGAGGCCTGAGGTGAGCAAGGGTCATTTGTCATTTTCGCTTTTGCGTGACAGCTCTGCGCCTGGTGATTATCAGGTTAGCTCTGCAAATAGAAGGACTAGAAACTTGCTTCCTTAAAATGGGAATTCAGGTTTTCAGGACACGGATAAGCAGCAATTCTGTTACTTCTGGAGCCTTGGGGGTAAGGCACAGTGTGATAAATGTTTGCAGGTTTGCCAGCTCCAAACCCAAAGTGGGGCTTCTTTGACTTCTCCCAACTCTACAGCCGTGCGATGGGAAAATCTGTGCCTTCTATGCAACCCTTAAAGGCACAGGAGCCCCCTCATGGTGTGGACCTCCCAGTCCAAAATGCCCACTCCCTTTCTGCTTTGCTGCAGGTTTTGAGTGACGCTGAAGACTTTGAAGCTGCTTCTCTCATGCTGTCCAAGACACCGATTATAGCTGACGTCTACTACATCATTGGGGGCACCAGTCCCAGGGAGGGGGCAGTCATTACGAGAAGGAGAAGCGGTCCAGTCGATATTTGGCCCTTGGATCCTCTGACTGGAGGGTAAGCGTGAAATTTTGTAACCCTGGGTTTTGCAGGTGGGGGAGGAAAAAAAACAAGCTGTGAATTTGTAGGTGGAAGAAGGATCAGTGTCCCTTGGTAGTTTTTGAGGAGGGCAAGAGGACGCAGCTGTTTGGAGTAGCCGAAAGGGATATTTGTGCCTGGGACGGGGGATAGAGAGGGTGTAGAAACTAGGAAACTAGCAAAAGCAACAGGAAGAGTAAGCGGCCAACCAAAACAAAAAGTCTAGAACAGGGGTGTCAAACTCAAATTCATCGGGGGCCGCATCAGCAGTTTGGTCACCCTCAAAGGGCCGGTTGTATCTGTAGGACTATGTGTCCACTCTTTATTATCATAAATTATTGTCACTGCGTTCAATTATTACTGTTTTTTCTAATAATGTAAGTAATAACTAGCTCTGAAAGCAGAAACATAGTCAGAATAATGGCAAGTAGAATGCATGTAAAGTGGAGGTTTCCTGTGTAGAACGGCCGGCGCCGCTAGAGGGCAGACGTTCTCTGGCTTGTAGGCTGCCGCGCATGCGCTGAAGAGGCAGCTTTCTTGTGTCAAAAAAAAAAAAAGTGAGAATAAAAGGTGAAGGCTGGCGGCCGGCGGCTACACGGGCCACATGACGAGGTCTGGCGGGCCTTGTGTTTGACACCCGTGGTCTAGAAGGATTGGAGAACCTTTAAAGAATATTTAGAAAACGATGGAATAAAAGGAAACATCTTGGCAGAGTTAGACTGATCCCTGTATTGTATAAATATAAGTTTGTAGGGAGGTAAAAAGAAATGATATAAGAAATATGTAACTGTGCAGTATAAAGTAATGGATAGACAAAGCACAGTGAGATTAATTGAAAGTCAGTTTTAAATTTCTTTTCTATAAATTTTATAATTGTGTTCAATACCAGGAGTATATCTGATGATATTATAGTAATCTTATATCTTATAGTGTGGTGGTTTGTTTGATTTTTCTGTTATTTGTTTGTTTGTTTGATTGTGTGTTTGTTTACTTGTATGTACATCTGTTTTTCATAAATGTATTTATTTTAAATTAATAAAGATATATTTTTTAAAAGAAAAAAAAAAGAAACTAGGATTCTGCACAGAAGCAAAATAAACATTCATTGCTCCCCCATATTTGCCCCTAGCCCCACCCAACAGCACCATACGGCCCTCCGAAGGTTGTCCGGGAGGGACTTTGGCCTTGGGCAGAACAAGGTCTCCCATACTTGGGCTAGCTTGACGTGATATGAGCAGCCATTTGTGCATAAAATCAGGGTGCGTCTAGTTTTTCCTATCCATCTTACAGATCTGAAAATCTTTTGGAAGAAACTAATTTCCCCCGTTTAAAAAATAAGTACTTTATCTGTATAATGTGTGCAAAAATAATGCCATGATAAATGTTTTAACCATGTGTTTTATATAGGTGGTACCGGGTGGAGACAAACTACGATCACTGGACAACCCCTCCTCCTTTTGATGATCGAAGGTTTGTGTGAAGATGATGTTCTCCTAAAGAAAAATGAAAAGCAAAAGTACATACATGCTTTCTTATACCTCCACTGTTGGAGGCAATATGCAGTTCCTTTCAGTTCTGTCTCTCTCCTTCACCAATCAGTGCTGAAATCAGGCCTAGAGCCAGACCAAAATGGGTCGAGATCAGGGATGGAGAACCTCTGGCCCTCCAGGTGTTGATGAACTACAACTCCCATCAGCCCCAGCAAACACAGCTAGGGATTATGGGAGTTGAAGTTCAGCAACATCTGGAGGGCCAAAGTTCCCCATATTCAGTTTTATCCAGGCACAATTGAAGGTGGTTGACCACCACTATCTCAATCGCCTTGCCCAAGAATGAGACATCTGCCACCAAGTTTTGGTTCCCCAGTACCTCAAGGTTCAGGGTGTATGTCTTGAAATTCGGCGTCAACTCCTGCCTGCTCTCATGGAGGGGGACCCACCTGGTTGGTTCTTCCTGGGTTGTTTAATAATAATAATAATTTATTATTTATACCCCGCCCATCTGGCTGGGCTTCCCCAGCCACTCTGGGTGGCTTCCAACAAAGATTAAAAATACATTAAAATGTCACACATCAAAAACTTCCCTAAACAGGGCTGCCTTCAGATGTCTTCTAAATGTCAGGTAGTTGTTTATCTCTTTGACATCTGATGGGAGGGCGTTCCACAGGGCGGGCGCCACTACCGAGAAGGCCCTCTGCTTGGTTCCCTGTAGCTTTGCTTCTCACAGTGAGAGAACTGTCAGAAGGCCCTCGGTGCTGGACCTCAGTGTCCGGGCAGAACGATGGGGGTGGAGACGCTCCTTCAGATATACTGGACCGAGGCCGTTTAGGGCTTTAAACGTCAACACCAACACTTTGAATTGTGCTTGGAAACGTATTGGGAGCCAATGTAGGTCTTTCAAGACCGGTGTTATGTGGTCTTGGTGGCCGTCACCAGTCTAGCTGCCGCATTCTGGATTAGTTGTAGTTTCCGGGTCACCTTCAAAGGTAGCCCCACATAAAGCGCATTGCAGTAGTCCAAGCGGGAGATAACTAGAGCATGCACCACTCTGGCGAGACAGTCTGCGGGCAGATAGGATCTCAGCCTGCATACCAGATGGAGCTGGTAGACAGCTGCCCTGGGTACAGAATTGACCTGTGGCCTCTATGGACAGCTGTGAGTCCAAAATGACTCCCAGGCTGCGCACCTGGTCCTTCAGGGGCACAGTTACCCCATTCAGGACTAGGGAGTCCTCCACACCCGCCCGCCTCCTTTCCCCCCAAAACAGTACTTCTGTCTTGTCAGGATTCAACCTCAATCCATTAGCCACCATCCATCCTCTTAGCCGTGACAAGCAAGAGTCGAGAGCATGTGGTACACAACAACTGAGACCGATCCCAGAAAAAAAGACTACATGATGCTCAGCTTTCTGTTCTTTTTGGTAATTTTTACATGCACAAACAGAATCCCATATGGGGCGAAACCCGCCACACCTCTGACCTCCAGTATGAAATAGTCTTCTGCACCGCGATTCTTCCCAGTTTTGATTCATTCACTAAAATTTAATTTTTACTCTGCAGAACCCATGCCATGAAGGCGATGAATGCCACCGGACAGAAAAATATTAATCTCGAGTCTCTCTACAAAGTAAGTTTTCCATTTTACATCATGCCCGTTTAAAAAAAACAAAAAACAATAAAGCCTTTTACTGGTGCCTTTATGCTAGAATATTTTTCTGGTGGGATTTCTCGAGGGTTGCCAAATTTGCAAACAAGCAAACCTGTTGTGGGTGACGCACACGCAACTAAGCACACACTACAACAGATTGTATTGGCTATAATATTGTGCTGCTTTCAAGCCTAATTTCAATGAGGGAGAAGGTCTGAGGGTGCCATTGATGGCCTCTGTGGACACCTGTACAAAAAAGCCTCAATTTCTGCACTCCAGAATGGACTTTCCTCTGCCCTGAGTCTTGGGAAGAAAGGCTTGGTATAAATAAATAAATTTAATAATAATAATACATGAAGCATCATCCATCAGTTGCTTCAGATGTCTTATTAAGGCTTTCCCTGACCCAGAAGATTGGACCCTATTATTGCTAGCATTAAGTTTCTGTCTGTTTCTATAGTAGTGTTTTTATCATACTGTGTTTTTTTCTTTTCTTTTTATGCTGAATTTTTGTGTACTGGCGCTTAGACATTTCAGCCATTTAGAAATGCTTTTTCGTAAATGGACGCTTTCCATTTTGATGTTTTCCAGGTGCTATCCGTACAGCCAGTCTTAAACAAGTAAGTTGGCATTTCATAGAATCATAGAATTGGAAGGGATCTCGCTAGTCATCTAGTCCAGTCCCTACGAATCTCATGCTCTCCCAGCTGAGCTTTGCAGGTTTCCAAGAATTCCGTAATTAAAGAAATAACGCCTGGGTTTCCTTCTCCCTCTCCTCCAACCCCATCCTCTTTCCTTGTGTGTCGTGTCTTAAGCTGGTCTTAACACCGACATTTTAAGTCTTTTTTTGTGGGGAAGGGAGCCTGTTTTGGACTGAAAAGTGGGATAAAGATGCTTTTAATAAACCTAGAACCCAGTGCAATAAAAGGGCCCCTCTAAATCTGACCTCTGTTTTATTCAAGTTAATGTTTGAGTTAGAACCTTAGGTATAACATGACTCAGTTCCTTTCATATCCTTTGCCAGGCTCACAGTTTATACCACTGTAATGAGTGCTGCAGCCCCCAGCAAGTATACGACATGC